GAGTCCCCAATCTTCCGTTGACACAGTCGTGAGCTGCAATACAGGCAAAGATTGTAACATGAGTTAGCGCAGAGTTAGCTCAGGAGCGGCTTTGGCATGCTGCGTGTAAGCGCCTGCAAACGTTATACAAGTTCGTTACGAGGCAAAGCATGCAGCAAAGGAAGCTTCCCTGAAGCTTCCTTTCGTGCACGCGTGGGGCTGGCTTGTTCTGCCAGCCACAGCGGGGTGCGCTGCAACCCCATTTCTGGCTGCCTCCTCCCCGCGACACCCTGGCCCTGGGCTCAACGCCCAGGATGCCTAGGGACCGGGGAAGGAGGTCAGCTGCTTTTGGGAAACTCTTGCTTTAAGTCTTCGCCTACATTTGGGCTCGCCTATGGCCAGATAAAGCCCAGAAAACAAGCGTTACAGTTGGTAGCACCGCATGGTTCGTCGGGGCAAGGTGCGAGTACTGGCCTGATCCCCACACAGGTGACATCAAGCATCGGTGAAAAAACAAGGGATCGCAAAAATAGATAAATTCCTTTTGTCCGTTTATTTATATAGAAATAAAACCCATTTCCTTCGTAGACAACATCTCTTCCAATTTCAGTGTTCTCTTCAGCAAAATGGACGTTTACAATGAGCCACTCAGAGGAGGGGTCGACGCACGGTCTGGAACCCCAGCAAGGGGAATCCAGCTCCATTTCGGCATCCAATCCCGGAAAAAATGCATTCCCGCCAAAAACGATTCAAGAGGAGTGCCTCCGGTTGTGCCGTCCTACGCGATATGATGGGGGGCGGGATGCAGAGGCCGTAGAGGCGTTCCTTAATTGCCTAGACCTATACCTCCGCCTACAAAATGCCCCAGAAAAATTCCAACTATTCCTGGCATCTTCCTTGTTAGAAGGGGACGCACGGCAATAGTGGCTACACTTAAGCAACGGCTCCACGTTCCCGGAGCACATCAGGTCCATGCAGGCCTTCCGGGACGCACTACGTTGGAGGTTTATTTCGAAGTCCGCAAGGGAGCAGGTTATGGCGGGACTGAGGATCTTAAGCAGGGAAAACTGGCAATAGAGCGTTACATTGAGAAATACCAGTCCTTGGTGAACCGAAGTCCTATGGTGGATGCGGAGCTCCAGTATAATTGGTTTATAGCGGGACTGTCCCCTGGAGTGAGGCAAACAATAACTGGCTGAGCCACGGACAGGGAAATGAGGGGCGCAAAAGTGGAACTCGCTGACATGATGGAATACCTCCGCAGAATGGAAAGGAAAAACGCCACATCCACAGCCTTAGCCAAAAAGGAAGAAAGCGGGACTGGGAATGATCCCGATTTGGAACCAATGGATATTGGGGCTGTGAACACCAAGTCAGCTCAACAGGGGCTAGAGGCGGCTACCGTCCACAAACGGCGAACTCACCACGCAGAAAGCAAGACGGAGACTCTGAACGGCGTAGTTGCTTCTTTTGCAGTAAACAGGGTCACGTATTTCGAGATCGCCGGCTTATGAAAAAGAAAATCCAGCCAGTTAGATGAGTTCTGTTGGGCGTAAAGTCGCAAACACTGTACCAGCGTGCGGTTAGTTCGTTCGGTCTGGCCGTCTCCCTGCGGATGGTTGGCGGTGGTCATGTTGTGGTCGATGCTGAGCCGTTGCATGAGGCTACGCCAGAAGGCGCTGACGCACAGGCACTACAATGGATCCCTTGTGTGGCCTCTAGAGGCCTAGTATCTTGAAAAGGAATATGTACTATAGAATATCTCAGGAAGTAAGACACTTTTAGATAGAAAAGATGCATAATAGGATCAGAGTAATCGCCAGCCGGCACCGGCTTTGCTGCTGGGTGTGAGGCTGGTGTTGTGACCCTGGCACTGACCCTCGGCGAGGGCCAGAGGCAGTTCTATTATTCTGGGTTTTCTTCCAGAACAGATAATATGAACTCCCATGTGTTTTGGTTATTGATGGTGTTTAATAGTGGATGCAGCGGGAATCATGTGTTTAGGTAGCTAGATGCAGAGTGTGCATCTAGCCAGAATAGCTTAGGGTTCATATGTAGTAAAAGCGAAGGCCAGCTGTTCACTACAGAATGAGTTCGATGCGGTGCATTGAGCATCCAGCGGGTGGCCTGCCCGCCAGTAGCTCTTTGTTATTGAGTACCTCTGAGAACTCTTCATTCAATTTTGCTCACTTCTGCTGTTCTTCGGGTGTCAACTGGATCGATTTCCCCAAGAAAGCGGTCTTCAGAAAACCATCACGACGGAGTGCATGCATAGGCCTGTCGTTCCTCTCAGTGCCTCTGAACTCCATGGGAGCTCTTCGATCCGCTTTCCTTGGGGCGCAGTTTCCACTCCTCTTACCATAGAGAATGCAAATACCGGTTGCAGCGCTGAGAGAGGCACCCTCTCATTACTTCCTGGCGCATATATCTCAACAGTGTCATCAGGGGGGTGCATGTGGGCCGTGCGCTGGGTCATCGACGGCAAGCCTAGGATTATGTATGGAACTGGTCCAACAAAGAAGTCGCATAGCAGCATGTGTGACATAAGCTCACGTCTTCCCTGCGCACCATCTGCTAAATGTAATCGCAGAACCTGCGCCAACGAGTACGCAGTTAGGCGGAGCCCTCTGGCTGTGGCCTTCGACAACACAATCATTTTGCATTCCTTATCAAGAACCGCCCGGGTCAAAGAGCGCTAGCGACTGCTGAGCGTTGACACGAAGTTGTATGAGCACAAAGAAGACTCGAGGTGGATCTGCCGGTACAGTAGTCATCTTCTTGTTTCCAACACCCGTGCGGGCACGCTTTTCGCTGCTTGTTTTGTTTGGCCGCCTGGCGACGCTGCTCAGAGCCTAGGTTCTCCAGCTCCAAATTTCTTCTCATCCGCCTGAATTCTTGAATTATGTGGCTTTGCTTATTGCAAGAGAAGCAGATTCGCCTACTAGGATGTCCCTGAGGCCTTCTAGTTGGTGATTTCGCCGACAGCTGTCGGGTGGTGGTTGCTGCCCTTTAATTTCTTTTTGTGTGGCTGGAATTCACGAACACATTGCCCATTGGCTCTATATATGGGTCATTTCAACGACCGCCCTCTCTCTTCTCAGTGAGGGCGGTGTAAGCGGAGTTCTGCTCGTACTCCATCATCTCGGCGAGTTCAGCCCCTTCACCCTTTAGCTCGCTCTTTGCCCCCCGGCCGGTTGCTGATTGCCTCTCTCCGAGGGAGAGCCTTGTTCACCGTTGAACCTGTGTTCATCAATGAATGATACTGCTTGATGGAGAGCTCCATTGACGATTTCCCTTGTTTACGGATGTTTCTGTTCTGCCATAGGTTGCTCCTTCGTCGGCCTGGGAATAAACCTGCATTCTACATGTTGCGTGGCATCTATGTAAAGTTGCTCTTCCTTCTGTAGGACAATGAAAACATGCTTCTTTCCCATATTTCGCGAAGCTCCCCATGCAGAGGTAGGCATATCTGCTTTGCCATGTTCGGTGTGACGCGATATAAGCTGAACAACTCAATTACCCTGAGAAGCAATTTTCGTACTGGCGCGGTGCATGAGGTCCTTTCGGGAACGTTGATGGGGAAGAGAAACCAAGGATACGACTAGAAGGAAATACTGAAGAACGGTGAGTTTCACAAGCAA